AATGGACTCTACGGTCTCTGTAGCTTATCGAAGGTTGTTCAGATTTCGTTTCACACAAAGAAAAACAAATATAACAATTAATTCGAAAAATGAATGAAACTGATATCTAAACCATCAGTAATATGATTAATTCGGAGCCTGCGATTCGTCAAGGGTTACCGTGAACGTGGTAGTCTTTCGGTGTTGCCTGTGATGATTTTGTTAAATTACTTTATTGAAAATAATAAAATGAACGCACCACAACACAACATTTAGCTTATCATCAATGCTTACAGTAACAGCAATAAAAACTCCAGAAAAAAGTTAGTACCTTTTTTTTTTTTCAATTGCAAGACTGATTTTGTCTCGATCTTATTGCTTTTTTAGTTCCCAAGGTTACCTTGAATTTTACCGACAGGTCTGTGACCAACTCATCCCTTAAAGTGACTTGGAATGTAACTGAAAAACCCGTTGGGTTGAATATGCCTGACAAATATGAGATAGAGTCATGCGCAGTGGATGATTCATGTAAAGTTGGCAGCTGCATGAATAACACCACATCAACAAATTGGTATGAACTTTTAGAGCTTCGTGGTGCCAGTGCATACAAGTTCAGAGACAGGGCAATAAACTTAACCGCAAGGGATGGAACAGTGTTAAAGCATCCAGAAGGAAATTTTAGTGAACATATCGAAGTAACGACACAAGAAGGAGGTGAGGATTTTAACTGGAAAATAATTGGAGTCTGATATTTATGATGTTAAAAGCTTACTCCAACATTGGAGACCTTGATTAGGAACAAAACACCAAAAACCTTTAAACCCCTACGATTACTAAAAATCTAATTTCTTCTTAAACAATCACCCTTGAATCAAACATGATAAGCAACATAAGATGCTCTTGATTCTAAACCAATTCTCCTTCTATCGCAGTAAAAGTATTGAAAACAGTTTGGATAACTTACGTACAAAATGCAAGAGGTTAACATAATGGCGACATGGATTGTTGGTTCCTAGTAATTCAAGTTGTACTGAATTATCTTGTGAATGAACGAAGTGATACATATTTTGGTTCCCTTTTTTTTTTTTTTTTTAATTCCAACAAAGTTTTATTTTAATCAGCCAAAATCTATGTCTATGTTGAGGTCATTACCCTTTTGCCCTTGTGAGTTACTAGCATCTAATTTCTCCGAACAGTACACCCCTGAGTGAAACGTTAATGTCACAAGAATAAAGGAAATGATCACCAACTGAAAGAAACTCTTGATTGAAAAACAAATTCTCCTTGTCAGGACCTTAAAAAATGTATGGAGAACAGTATGGAGAATATGTCTACCGATGTGGGTTTGAAAAGGTTTAAGAAAACAGTTGAACAGAGGAGCCATTTGTATTTTTAAATAGCCCATAATAGAATCAAAATTATTTGGAGCGAGAATTTACTAGAAAACTATTAGAATAAATTGGCATGATATCAAAGATTGAATTTTAAAATTGAGAATTTCGTTTTCAGAGCTGGTTTCCAAACCTATAGGGAGGCAAACGAACATACTCGTCAGCGTTGTGACCTAATGATCCTTTCTCTCTTTTCCGTTTCTTTCCTTAAAAATGGTATCGATATCTTAAGAGGAAGTCTCAAAATCGTGTCCTGTACTTATTAGGTTATCATAGCAACACGACAGCCACTAGAAAAATACACTCACAATTAAATCTTGTAACAAAAATAAGTGTATCAAGATTGACCGCTGTATAATTCTTCTGAAAATCTTCACTATTACAAAGGGGGTTCCTATTAATTTTCCAGAGCTTAAGATGAACTAGTCTTACATTCTCGGGATCCCATCTTTTTCCCAAATAAAAATCTTTATCATTTTAACGAGAAGAAACGTTTTTAAACGTCGAGTTTTGAGCAATAAAGGTGCAAGTATTAGGAGACGAAAAGTTTCACAGCGGGAACTTTTTAAGCAATCTTTTCTTGTATATAATTAATTCTTTCTTTGGCCTGGCCCCTTTATTCTTGGCGCTAAGTCCCAAAACACTACATTGACCCCACGTTTAGTCAATAACCCATGTATTGCATCAGGTTGTGTATTGTTAAAGTGCCAATGAAAATAATCTTTTAAACAGCTCCAACCCAAGCACCTTTAAATGTCAGTGCAAAGCCTCACAGCCAGACCAGCATCCGAATTACGTGGAATGAAGTCGATGTATGTCACAGAAATGGGAAAATAGTTGAATACAACGTAGAAATGTATAACAGCACCTGGGGTCAAAAATGGTATGGTGATTTCAACAATACGAATTTGGGTGAAGCGATAGTGGAAAATCTCGTGTACGCGATTTACAGGGTTAGAGCCAGGGCTAGAACGGAAGCAGGGGAAGGACCCTACAGCGAGTGGCATAATACTACAACACATAAACCAGGTACGAACTGATAAAAAAGGGTAATTGAACTGAGTGGAGGGAAATCTGTAGATTTCATGGCAAAATTCAATTATTACTTTATCACATTCAAAACTTTAACTGTAATAAATTGCATAAAAATTGGAAAAAAAAAAAAAAAAGAAAGAAAGATAATGTTAGGTTTTGGGAAAAAAAATTCCAAAATTTGCCACAGAAAGACTTCTTCGTCTTTCATGCTTCTAAAATTTGATTATTTGTTTAAAAACGAACCTCGAAATCTAATTGGTTGTTTTATTGTAAGTGTTGATTGTCATTGTGGGAAAAAGATGCAATTTAAAGCATGAATTAATGCGATTCATGAGTAAATTACGCTTCTGAGAGCCAAATAGATTTCCAAGATCACCGGTGGTTTCAAGATGGATGTAATAAAATAGGGTATCCGTCCTTCACAGCAAGATGAATGTTAGATGAAAAGGGAGACCGATCAGATCATATTGCCCGGTCGTATTAATCTACAGTCCGGGCCATGGATATTTTTGTCTATAACATCTCCTGCGATATGATTCCTCTGCAAAAAAAAACAAAAAACAAAAAAAAAAACCAAACAAACTGATATAGCAGAGAAAGGATAGGGATGATACTATTTCTCACTAGCTTTTTCCTGACGGCCATGTTGTAATGCGAAGAGGACGGCAGAGCAGAATTCAAAATTTTAAAAGAAACATTGACTACTTTATTTCTGCATTACTGTATTACAAATCTAATATCATAGGTGACAAATTACTCCTTAATCTTGGCGCTAAGTTTCAGCGTTAATTTTTAATTTCACATGTGAAATTACAAAATTGCCATGGTAACATCTCTTGTATCTCGATCAGAGCCAAAATGGCGTCGAGATTTAAGACGGTGACTCTTGAAAAAGTTATGAAATTAAA